TGGAGGAGAGGAACAAAACAGGACTTCGAGTCGAACCCAGAAAGTACAGTCTAGAGCAGAGAATAAGGGAATCGCGTGGAGAAAAGACCAGAAATCATAGAGAGAAAGAGCTGGAGACGAAGGTGAACAACGTAGAAGATGAACGATGGTTTTGTACATTTTCTTTTAGCCGTTTTGAGCATTTAAGGTTTGAAAGATGTGGGATGAGACGTACACGGAAACCAAGGGAGCCATGATTACTGCTATCTTCAAAAAGCCCCTCCCACGTGCATCTCACATGCAGGCTAAGGTCAGCTAGATGCAGGTCTGGTCCAAGGTAAAAGCAGCTTAGCCCATGCCCAAACTCACTTGGGCCAAGGGCTGGGGGGCAACTGATGATACCTCAAGATAAATCCCAAATGCCAGCTCAGCCCAGGAGGTCAGACTAGACGAACGGAACTCGGAAGAGTAAGAGCTGGAGGTCCCTTTGAGACAAACAAGGGCAATAACAACCAATACAACAGCTGGAAGATCACGAGAGCTTCCTAAAAGCGTTAGGAAGCAATAATTAAGACACCTAATCTTAACCAACCAAAATCTTCTCCTATAATCAAGGAGAACCCCATGAAATAAGGGCAAGAATTTCGGCTAAGATCCCACTGAATAGATAACAGCCCTATAAATACTATATAACGCCCCCAAGGAACGAAGGGAACTCNTCACCTTGCCCTTACCTTTGTCAGCACTAGGGGGTACATGAGAGGAAGATGAGGGGAGTTCCTTGGAGTGCACCTCGGTATCGATAGCCTCAACACCGGAAAAATTGTCAATCTCATCACCTACATCCCCTAAATCAGAATCTGTTTCAGCAGATCTGTCGCCTAGGAGGAAAACAGAGGAGAGGGTTGCTCCAAAGGAGACAGACATGACTGACAAAGAGAAAGGCAAGTCGAAAGAATTATAAAAAAGAGGAATACTAACTAAACACTCCCTGATAATCCTAAGGTCAGCACTGTACCCCCCGATAGTAAGAATTCGCACAGTGGAGTTTCAATCCACAAAGTGGGGAAGAAGAGATAGGTAACGATTGCAATTCCAAAAGAAAAAGAACTGAAAAATCCAGAAAAATAATGGCCACCTCGAAGTCGAGGGATCCAGAGTGCAGAAAGGCAAGAGAAAGAGAAAGGGGCAGAAAGAAGCGTACCTAGACAGGGAAGAGAGCAACAAGCAGCAACTAAAGAACAAAATTGGAGGAGAGGAACAAAACAGGACTTCGAGTCGAACCCAGAAAGTACAGTCTAGAGCAGAGAATAAGGGAATCGCGTGGAGAAAAGACCAGAAATCATAGAGAGAAAGAGCTGGAGACGAAGGTGAACAACGTAGAAGATGAACGATGGTTTTGTACATTTTCTTTTAGCCGTTTTGAGCATTTAAGGTTTGAAAGATGTGGGATGAGACGTACACGGAAACCAAGGGAGCCATGATTACTGCTATCTTCAAAAAGCCCCTCCCACGTGCATCTCACATGCAGGCTAAGGTCAGCTAGATGCAGGTCTGGTCCAAGGTAAAAGCAGCTTAGCCCATGCCCAAACTCACTTGGGCCAAGGGCTGGGGGGCAACTGATGATACCTCAAGATAAATCCCAAATGCCAGCTCAGCCCAGGAGGTCAGACTAGACGAACGGAACTCGGAAGAGTAAGAGCTGGAGGTCCCTTTGAGACAAACAAGGGCAATAACAACCAATACAACAGCTGGAAGATCACGAGAGCTTCCTAAAAGCGTTAGGAAGCAATAATTAAGACACCTAATCTTAACCAACCAAAATCTTCTCCTATAATCAAGGAGAACCCCATGAAATAAGGGCAAGAATTTCGGCTAAGATCCCACTGAATAGATAACAGCCCTATAAATACTATATAACGCCCCCAAGGAACGAAGGGAACTCTAGAGGCAAAAACTAGTCATTGTACTCTTGCAATCATCATTATTGAAAGACAAGGAGCAAGAGTCTCCATTAAAGAGTGGATTAGTCGAGCTCCTGAGCTGGTGAACCACTATATTCCTATTATGTTAATTTTCCAATTCCCCGACGACTCTCAGTATCATTCACTCGAGTCTAGTAGCTCAAATGCCAATAATTCTAATATTATTTTCTTTTATTTACTTATCATCACAAATTCTCATCACGTTGAAATACACCATCAAAATCAATATAATATTTTTTTATTAAATGTACATACCACTTAACACATGTATATGGTGTGTAAAATTCATTCAAAAATTTCTCTAAAATTCGAGAATTCTATTAGAGTAATGTTAGAATTTGAATTACATAATTTTTTTTGGTAAATATAAACGTCTTAAGTTTAAATCATGAATGATTTAATTCCTGTGAATACCTTAATTGCGACGTAAATGACTTATGATTAAGAAGATAATTAATTAAAGTGCGCGTAATTGATCCGAACAACCTGACAGTTAGGTCTGTTAGTCGAATGAGCCCAAATTGAGTTCGAGCCGAACTTGAAAAGCTTATTTTTTAATCGAGCATTAAAAATTGTTCAAGTTCGACTCGTTTAGGAAACGAGCCAAGCCTGAATGAGTCAAAAATAAGTCGAGCCCGAACCCGAACCCGAACCGAGTTTGAGTATTTGCACATAAACGAGTCGAACTTGTCGAGTTTGAGTCGACCTTATAGGACTTACTTTCTAAACGAGCTTAAAAATTTGTTGAAATTTGAACTCGTGTTAAAAAAATGAATCGAACTTAAACGAGCTGAATTCAAACTAAACTCAAGTAACTCAGTTTGATTAACAGGCTACCGGTAGAAGAAACAAAAAACACAAAGAAATTTTTTTTGTTAGCCTAATCACACCCTTGCGTGGAAGCAGCCGAACGTGTTAATAGCTGAAGCGTTGCCACGTAATGCAAAATTGACGAAACAATGCAAGTCCTCACGCCATTGCACTAAAAAACCACCCACCTCCTCCTGCAGCTGCACTTCCAAATTTCCCACCATCTTTCTTGTACACCGAGAAGAGAGAAGGTTTTGTGTCAATGGAAGAATCGTCACTGCCGCCACCAACCACCGGCGCCGCCAAAAGAAGGCCGGAAATATCGGTGACGTCACGTATTGGAAAAGTTTGCCTCTCTGTAGCTGCTTCATTGCAAGAAGGTTTTGGCTATTTCAAAGCCTTTCTTGTTGGACAGGTACTTATCTGGTAACACATGTATCTATTGTTATAGAATCATCTATCATAAAGTTTAAATTGATATAGAAAGAATAGCTCCTTAGCTGTGGGTTAGATTTTGATCAAACACGTATAACTTTTTTTTTTAATTATTAAGGTTATACCGAGGTTCCAACGTATAGTTTTTAGGCTAATACTATGTTAAATAGTCATTTATTTCAAATTTAATCAATGTAATGCAATTATTTGTGTATGAACATGGCTGCACACACTTAAAAACACACACTAGCACATACATGTAGGTGTGCATATTTGGTGAAATGAATGGTTGGGAGTGATGAAAGCAGGCGAAGAAGATGAGAGCGAGAAGCGAGAAGGAAGCGTCAGAGGCTGATCTACAGACCGCCAAGATGGAGGTTGAAGCTGCTGATGCTGCTGAGGATACCAAGAAGCGTCTTGACAAAACTTATTAGTTTTGTTATGGTTTCACATCTGTTAAAGAGTAGATGTATATAAACTCTTGTAGACCCTATATACAAAGATTGAGTTGGCCATCGTCCCGTCCCGTTATTACATCTGGAGATCATAAGAGTTAATTTGAAACAGCTATAAATCTTCTTTTCAAATGTACTGAACCACGTCAATCAAGTACAGTTCATTAATCTTTCTTTCAAGCTTGGACTGGGCTTTGATTGTTGAAGTGAGCTGAGTTTGTGCTCGAACTTTAGCTCAACTCAAGTAAAAGTTAGGCTCATGTTAGTGATTAAGTTCATCTTGTTTATATAATTTCAATTTTTTAAAGGCATTATTCAAGTTTGGGTGATTTATTAAACGAGTTATTAAAATTTGGCTCGAATTAGGTTTTAATAGCTGAATGAGTGTACTTGAACTAGCTTTATATGAGTTGACATCTACCTGTTCAACAGTATTGGTTTATTTGCCAATGGAAGAAATGGAGGGTGAACTCCAAAAACTGATGATTCTATCTGGTATAGTCTGAATGGAAAAAAAGGATTTTGTTTATTATGAGTTAGAGTCGACTATTATTTGACACGAATTTGAAAATTATGACTTAACAACGTGAATAAAATGTTAAATACAAAAACCCGAATTTCGAGACTACATGCTGGTTAAACTGCTGTTGCATGAAGCAGGAGTGCACAAATAACAATTGGGATCTGTAACTTATGAACAGTATCTTTCTAACTCCTTTCGTTTTTGTCCCCTTATAAGTTGCTTTGCTCTAGTTAGAACAATGAAGTAATGTATCCATAAGAGCTCCCGCCATCAGTAGCTCAAATACAAAAGAAACTTATTCATTGTTATTACCTGTTGTAGACCTTCAACGTTTCATTTTTCATAAATCTGAGAAAAATGGTTTTGATTTGAGAAGTGACGTTGAGATTGAGCATGTCCAATAAGTAATAAAGAAAGCAAAGGGAGCCTGGAAAACAAACAGTAGAGTGATGCAAAGGACCTCCCGCCTTTCCTACCAAAACCCGAAATTATATAAGATCTGGAAAGGGCTGTAAATAATCTAATTCCTTCCTCCCTTTCTTCCCCAGTTCCGGAGATAGATATAGTCCTCTCAAAACCTAGCTGTTAAGAGTGGCATTTGAGGTTAATATAAAACTGAATCCCCAAATGGGTATTTGAAATCTTCTCCTGCAAGCTATAGAACAACTAAGGGTAGTGGTCTGCTCGCTTTGGTTCTACTTTTGTGCTGACCAAGAAGCAGGAGCTCGAGCTCGAGCTCAACCAGCCATTGATAATCACTAGAATTAGGGGGCTATTGCTGGAAACTGACCAATGAAATTAACCCAAACCATATCTGGATCAAGGGCAGCACAATCCTGAACAAGAATTGCATTATTCTAGATTTATAGAAATTTGAAATGTCACGTCAGTTTCATGTATTCATTTTACAGAAATTTGTATTCACTTAAGTTTGATGGCGAAACTCATCTCATACAGGCAATGGACATTGCATTACTTGTCCAAAAACATTAACACAATCCCGGATAGTGCAATAGTCATAAACATATGCTTTCTTACATTGTAACAGATGAGGAAAATGGATACGCGGATGGTAGGGCACCATCAAAGCCTAATGCACTTGATTGTTTTCGGTTTTCCTCTGGAAAAGAAGTGAACCTAATAGGACAGCAATGCCTGTTATTGCAATGCTGAATAGAAGGCGTCTCCGTGAAAAAACATTTGGCTGCCTTCTTTGAGCACCATCCTCTCTTTCAGCTGCCGCATGGCCCGCATCCCTTAACAGATACCAAACAAACCACCATGCCAAAACATATGAAAACCAGAGAATTAACAAATTCATAAATCTTGATATAAATTTATAAACATCCTACTGAGACAGTAAGATAGACACAGTGGCTCAAGAACCACATAAACAGGGAGTTCTTGGGCCTCTGCTTTGTGCGTGAGATAATTTATGTACAAGTTGCATGCTAGCAATGACAATAGTCTAGAGCATAATGTAAAGACAGAACTTTTGTAGAAGCTTAGTTGGCTGATTGATATGGGCATTACAAATATTTATTTTAGATAATACACGAAAGTTAAGGAATAGTTCATGGAATCTGAGTGAATAATAAATTTTTCGTAGCGATGCAGAGTCAACAACAATAGTTTTGTGCAACATCTACATTCTTAGATATATAGTTTCTTACAATCATCCTACAAAATGCTAACCCACTGAAATTGAAGGTCTTAAGAACCCAAACAAATGGTGAGGTGGTTTCTGATTACCATGGTAACATCTCAAAGGAAATTTGTAAAAAATACAAGATAAGCATGATCAATAATGTTAACTTCCCATTGCCATTATGTAACAGTTGTTTTCGCCAGAACAGCACTAATCAGGGGAGTGGCAAGAGAAAATTGACCCCTTTAACTCAAAAGAATTTCATTAGATATTTTTCCATAAGAATCTTAAGGAGCAAAATTTCAATCAACAGTTCCTTTACCTGGAAGATTCGGAAGTATTAGCTTGGACACCGTTGCATCTGCTTTCATGGCCATTTCGTTCACGCAGCCTAATATATCTGCAACACAGATGACAATATTCTGTCCGGTTCCCACATACTTCCTGGAATTACCAATGTCAGCCTATTGTATCCCAACATCAATGAATATCGTTTTCAGATCAATTACAGTTACTACCTGATGCTCAAAAAGATCAATTGCAGGCAATGGGAACTCGCAGTACTCGCATGTTACAATTCTTTGGGGGCAATTTTCACCTTTATGAACAGCTAAAACCTCACGTTCCATTGTTTCACTGCAGAGGGAACATGATACCTGCTCCAAAATAATGAATTATCGGTGTGACTATAATATATCATGACTCGGGAGAAAATAGATACTTAATGCATATTGTGCAGAACTTAATCAATTTGATAGGGAACCAACATAAAAAAATACAACGAAAGATTTCTAGCAAATTCTTTTGCCAATGCAGCCCAGGACCCACCCCTAATTATCTATCTCAATAACTACACAAAACCCAATTGAAAACACAAGGTCCACAAATCCACAAAGCAATTCCAAAAGAAAAAAATCTTGCATACCGGAGCATGAGTGCTTAAGAAATGTTCGTCTGCATATTTTTTAGGAACCATATCACCACAGACTTTACATCTTTCTAGATTCCGAGAGCAGTGAGCATAATGCAAATCAATATTTGAAGAAGGAATAGCTCTGTCACTGAGAATACAAAGATTTACAGCATATTTTGAGTTAAGAACACTACAGAGAACATGTAGGTGTAGGCCATCAAAGATTTAGCAATGACTAATATAGTTATTGATAAACAATTCCAGATGAACAGAATATTTAATCTCAAAGAAACATGTGAGAATCAACAACATGCATACATACATATGAATCTATAACCAAAATTTGGTCCTTGTTAACCAAAGGTGCCAAGAGAGTGGACATGGAACAAACCTTTCTGTCTTTTCAATATATATTCTTGGATTTGTGAGATAAACCTGTGACTACGGTCGCTTAATGATAATGCAATGTTGGAGTATTTCATCTGTCTTACAGTGATCCTTCTAGATTTTTGACATTATATACTATACCATTGGATAAAGATATATAAAATAAATAATGAATTCACGTAATGTATTTGTGTATGTCAGTGCAACGAAATTAGCTACATCATACTACTATACAAGGATAAAAATTTCTTTTCGCTTCCACCGAGATGACTGAAATGTTCAATTCTCTTGAAAACCGATCAATGATTGAATATCGAAATTACTATGTTTCGAGGTGTTTTAGGATATATCATAAACAAATCTTTAGATTTTTTACTGTTTCCATAATGTTCTGAAACATGTCCAAAACATTTCCGTTTCTAAGTTGATTGACATATTATTATATGCCTTGAATTGGCAGTATAATCAACCACATGTCTTTCTTGAAAACCATTAATACCTGATATACATCCAATGTAATGATATTTGAATTATCATTCAAGTCGAACATGTCAAGAACTGGTACATTAGTAAGTTACACGCCATGGGCCATGGTTAACAGTTTCCATTGGAGCGATGCTCTATGTTTGTGTACAAAAAAAAGAAGCTGATGGCATTGGTCACAGAGCACGTAGATGGCAGATCTTAGAGGAGATGCCACAATGCATTTCTCGACACATTCAATCCAACTTTATCAAATAAACCAGGGTCAGATCGGCATTTAACACACATCAAAGATGTAGTGTACTGAATACAGAAATACTACTGATGTAGGTGGCAGAGCAAGAGACTGAAATACAACCACAATTAAACAGTTCGATCTACATAAGCAACTTTATCAATCCTTTAACCAATAAACAAACAGCATTGATACATGGAACCTTCCAATAGCCAGTCGTAGTAAAGGCATTATTTTTCTTCTTTTCTCTCTCTTTAAATTGGGGGTCCAGAAGTGAAGGCTAAACTACCCAGTAGCTCACCAACCCATGACATCCCAATCTCCTAACCCATCAAAAAAAGGGGAAAAAAGAATGAAACAAAATTTTAACTTTGTCTACTATGATCAGACTACCAGCTAAGCTAGATAACACCCTCTTTTGTGTCAAATCAATGCTGAGATATGCATATCTGAGGATCTCAATATACCAAAAGGTAACATTAGGCTCTTCTCTAGAATGTATACAGGAGCTTTTCCTCTTAACCAGTACTTTGAATGGAGGTTGGTTGAGGGTGGTTAGTCAAAAAATAGTATAACAAAAAAAAGTGTCTGGTCTGGTGTACCTAATGTGACTTTCTTGATCTATAGTTCCTATTCTTTACATTACCTACTGAAAAAATTAACGAGAATATAAAATGAAACTTGCCAGAAGATATCGACTTAAAAAGATATAATAATGCACAACAATCAAAGGGGACTAATAAACACAACCTAGGGAGAGGAAAGAAGCATATGATTACAAATTTAAAACAACATCACCTAAAATTGTAAAATACAATCCTCGTACCAATCATGATGAGAATCAAAAATCCAGTTGTGGGTATGTCTCTGTCTACGATTATGTAAATAAACAGACATATACAATACACATAGAATAATCAAATTTCACCAAAAAAAAATCGAAGAAAGTTTCCCACCAGTGACTGCAGATGCTTGTGGTCTGATCAGAAGAAGCTACGGCCATTTATCCTCGCAGAAATTTTACAAAACCCCCTTTGTTTTATCAAAGTTTTCTGCAATAATACTTAAAAATAAAGATCAATCAGAGTTTATAGAAAGTAAAAACAATGAGACAAACGATGGAATTAGGTCAAACAATAGAAATTATAAGTATTTGAATTCAACTTTGCCTAAAAATAGAGGAATAACCTATGATTCTGGGATTGGTTTTGCTTCGATGAGATCGATCGATTCGATTCCTTTTTTGTATACGAAGATGGAGTTTTAGATAGAGAATTTCCGTACCATCGATTATCAACACAGAGACAGTCCAATTTAACGATTAATGTTCGGCTGTTTATAGAAGTCTTATGGTTTTCTGTTTTGGTGTCCCACGCGAATTCGAAGAATTGCGGTCACGCGCTTTTGATGAATGATTAATGGGTGGGTTGGGCCTCTCTCTAGTTGAGTCCCAACCTTCCTTCGATTGGATTGGGCTAAACCACCCACCTCCCCTCCCTCTTCTCTCTCAAAATGTGCATTTTGATGCGATTGAACTCGCATTTTCATGATATGAGCCACAAAAAAGAACTCGCATTGCTTGTTATGTTGGCGTGAGTGAGTGCTACTAATAATGCTAAAGTTAGGGGAGGGAGGGGGGGAGTTGTGTAGGTGTGTTGGTGGTGTATATGTGTTTGCACCATGGGTTTTTTGATATTGGGTTTTGGGGGGTTGATTGGAGTGAGAGGAGCTAGAGGTTTGCATGGGGGTACGGGGATTGGTTGGAGTTGGGAGTTGGGTGCAAAAAAGTGTCTGGAGGTGGCGTGGGAGTGGTGGGACAAGGGTAATGAACCGGGGAAGGGAGAGATTGACCGAAAAATAAATTAAATAAGTTGATTTGTTTGACTATATTGCTCTCTACTCGTGAGATATAAGTAACATATTTAAGAGTATTTTCAATTATGACTCAAATTTGAGTTTAAATTTGAATAAAAAGTTTAATTTGATATAGAATATTCTAATGGATAAATTCAAATATCTACTTAAATCTTTTAAAAAATTTTCTTATTATTCCAAAACTAATTTTTTTTGTGTCATTCAAATCATAATATTTGATAAAATAAATGAAACATTCATCTCTCTAAAAATAGATAATTCAAAAAAAAATAATAATAATATGTATACAACACTACATGAAAATAAAGAAACCACCCCAGAATTCTAAGATTATTTTAATCCCTTATCATTTTTTATAAATTCAAATAAAGAAAAAAAAATAGTTAACATAGGCATGGTCTGAAAAACACACAAACATACGTTTTTAATAAAAATGAAAGATTGAAGAAATAAAATAACAAAATTTCTAAATTTGTGGGTATCGAAGGTTTAAAATTTCAGTAAGAATCGGTGGTTTGAAATTGTACTACCGATAGTGCTTAACTCAAAAAAATTAAAAAAAAAAATTGATGGGTAGATTTAGGGTATAAATAGTATGAAAGATGAGTGATATTAGTGTTTTGAAAAATACAAGAAATTAAGAAGATGAAAAGAAAAAAAAAACATACCTAGAGGCCTTCAAATGATTTGTGAAAACTTCGGTGGTGGTCGAGATGAAACAGTGTAGTAGAGAAAGACAAAAAGAGGCAGATAATAAGTAGTCAAATAAGTTTTTTAGTTTTGAATAGGTTAAAAAGTTACCGTTAGAAATTTGGTATAAAATTTGAGTCTGCTTTAATTTAGGTCCAGAATAAGTTATGTCTTGATTTGCTATAGGTTTGAGTTTAAGGTTGGAGAAGTTTTGTATGCCATTTTTATTTAAATTTAAATTTAAGTCTACATTTGAGTCAAGGTTGAAGATGTTTTATCAGAGCTATNGCTATAGGTTTGAGTTTAAGGTTGGAGAAGTTTTGTATGCCATTTTTATTTAAATTTAAATTTAAGTCTACATTTGAGTCAAGGTTGAAGATGTTTTATCAGAGCTATATTTGTTACACTTTCTATTTTAGAGATAATATATTTTTTTTTGTCAAGCACTAATACAGATAGGGGGGCAAAAAAATTTGAACCTCAAACCTTAAAGGTTTAACAATGGATAGTGACAACTTGATCTAATTTTTGTTCATGAGAACATGGAATGATTCATAGTTNAAAATTTGAACCTCAAACCTTAAAGGTTTAACAATGGATAGTGACAACTTGATCTAATTTTTGTTCATGAGAACATGGAATGATTCATAGTTTTACTTCCCTGGACACATTAATGATATGTAAGTATGAGAAGTCACGCATTCCTCAAATGTGTCAAGTTAGGTTAGGGTGTTGAGGGAGATAAGATAAGTGAGTCAAATCTTGAATGGGTAATAGGAACACCAATTATAATCAACGGAATACCATCTTAACCAGAGAATTTAACCCAAAATTTATCATGATTTAAGTACTCGAATGTAATATCTAAGTTGAATAATTTGTGTTAGATTAAGTTCAGAGGTCAAAATTTTATAAATTTAAGCAAGCCTAATTCAATCCATTAATCTACTCAACCCATCAAAGTATACCCCTAATAAATTATGTGGGAAGTGACAATGATGAAGAATCTTTAGACTATCCAGCCCGGTGGTACCTGTTTCTGCCTAACAATTACCTCTTGCTTGATTAGCTTTTCATTTTCTAATTGAATATGTCCACTTCTATGGCAGGGTGTCATGTACTTTCTCATTAGTTTAGTTCATCTTTCCCCCCCTTTTTTTTTTCCTTTNATGGCAGGGTGTCATGTACTTTCTCATTAGTTTAGTTCATCTTTCCCCCCCTTTTTTTTTTCCTTTGGCAATAAAGTTCCTGTACTAGTCTTTGACCTACACAATCAAAATGGTGATTGCATCCAATCCAAAGCACACTTATTTTGGCAAATTGTAAATGCTCTTTGGTCAGATGATTAATTTAACATAACTTTATATACTGATCAAATCGATCATCATGTTTAGTCCACTATTGAGAAGATTGAGAAGATTTCATTTAGTCCACTATTGAGAAAAAACACCATTGAGAAGATTTCACTAAATTATTATTATTTTTTTTTTAATGGCCAGGATATTCGGGTCAACTTATGTGTATTTCGACTAATCTTATCTTCAATTTAGTCAAAGACAGATCATTCATGTCGGGACTAAGATATTCATGAGGGATAAGTTCGAATTTAGGACGTCTGAATTTATAGCTCATATTTGTTACCATTTGAACTATCCATAGAGATTTTAAGTTATCTCTTTCAATCTGCCCTTATATATATAATTTTTTTTTGGCCCATATATATAGTGTGTATATATTCATCTTTATATTTGTTTGTACAGACGGTAATATAACATAAACCCATCTAATTTTTGACAAAGTACATAATCAAAACATAAAAAGAAAAAAGCATATTCAAAATAAAATACCGAGAATCAATATCGAAAAAAATGGGATAAAATTGCTTATTACTTACATCTTTTGAATCTCGGTACAAGCAATTAGATACAACTTTAATTTTTCAATACGGGGAGTACATAAGATAAAACTAAACAAAATATTGGTGTATGTAAAAAAGAAACAAAATGCTTTCAACAAAAGCGATTAGTACACATCCGTTTATGTAACATCTTCTTAAGTTAATATTGTCATACGTAGTGTATAAAACTCTTGTGTATAGAGTGAGGATATGAGATGAGTCGATCAAAAGCACACTTAACATTATTTTGAATATAATGATTTTGAGATTTAAATATGTAATTAGTTAGCAAGTAAAACACTTATGGTCTCTATTCTCTGCCGCTACTGTCCTTTTTTGCCTTTCCAAAAATGATCATTGCTGGTAGAGCCACATAAAACAAATTATTTCTTTCGACGGATTTTTGGTCTAGTAACACTTTTTATCTTGAGGTTAAGGGTTCAAACCCCCTACCTTCTTCTCGCCCAAAAAATAAATATATATAAAAAAGAGGAAAATCCCTCTTTCAAAAAAGGATGAAGTTCATTTGCTTTTCCAAATATTATCAAACAGTACTGTAGACACCATAAAGTAGTGTTTTTCAGCAGGAAAATATTGTGGCACCCAAATTTATTTATTTTTAATACCGTACCAAAAAATAAAATATTTTTCAAAAAATAGTAAAATTAACCCTAAAAAGTGATAACTTCGTAAGCAAACCGAAACCATAAATGCACCCAAAAATTAATAAGGTTCACCCAAAAAATGATATAAATACTCAAAAAAAAATAATAAGTGATATACTACTGATTTTTTTTTTTTAAGAAGCGCGGACAAACCCTTTTCAATCAATAAGACAAAAATGACTCACGACATAGGGATTTCTAATTTGAGTAATACTATTTCAATATAAAAATTTGACTTAATTTGTTGATTTAATGATGTGATTTTAGTGGAACTATTAAATTAAGACAAGGTTTCAATGTTTAACGGAACTCATAGTCAATCTAAATGTCATACTGAATTAAGTCAAAAAATTAAGTTCAACAGTATTACTCTTCCAATTCGCCACTGTTCTTTTTTTTTTTTGGTTTCAACGTCAGGAGTGTCCGGAGTAAATTACATGTATCTCGACTAATTATCTTTTTGGTCTGGTCAAAAACATGTTATCCATATTGAGATTAAAATATTCATGATAGATAAATTTCTCATGCTTGACTCCAAAGAGTTATCAAAATTTAAATTCAAAATGTCTGAATTTATACCGTGTCCGTATTATTAATTGAGTTATGTTAGATCTTCAAGTAAATGGAAGCCATTATTACGGAGGCCACTTTCCTTTTCTTTTTTTTTTTTTATTCTTGGTCTTTGCACTTACATCATTTGGGTGGTGATTGACAGTTGTCCACCCCCTTTATTTGGAACACTAACTTTTATAATACTTGATGTTGATTTTCGATGTTCTTAATCTTGAAAGGTCCCTCATTGGATGATTTACCAGGAACAATTAAATCTTATTGGTCCAAGTAATTGTGTTCACGTGGGTTTTGACAACTCAAGGTGGGCTCAGACCAGTTCCCCAACCCTAGAAACTGCCTCTTCACTTTCTTGTGTCTTTACTGGCCCTTGTGAGGCGAGCCCTTGTGTGTGCTTGACATTCTTTGTGAAATTTAAATCAACTGCTAATCTCTTATAATAGTGATGCTGGAACAGTCAAAGGTTTTGTGCTTTCCAGGTGGTGTTTCTGGACTTTATGAGAATTCTAGATTCGATTTGTGAAATTGACACAAATTTAATACGAATTTAGTAAGTTTAAGTGTAGTCTTAATGAGTTCGAGTAGTTAATAAGTTAACTCA